TGTATACATATCTATTCAGAATTAAACTTAAATTCTGAACAATTTACTCCTGGTATGTATACATAAGACTGCAGCTGTATTCCTTCAAATGTATTTATGTGTATGTATGTGTGTATATATATATATAGAGAGAGAGAGAGAGGATAAAAATATAATAATAATGTGTTCTACTCTGCTTGCTTTCATTATCCTTCTGAGATTCCACTGAACAAGATGGAAAACTTAAGTGATAGTACTATATAAATGACTTTATATAATGATTAGCTCCAGATAATCATTCTGGATTGAACTGGGACTGGCCATTTCTTCCATCCTAGAGATGAACTGAGATGCAGTTTTCTTCCATCCTGGAGATAATCTGAGATTCAGTAGAGGTTTTCAGTGCGGTAAGCTTATGGAAGAGTTAATTTTTTTACATTTCTCTTTCAGCATTTCTTGCCGCTCTTTAGTAAAGACTCCATCTCTCCAAAACAACTTTTCAGAGATCATAGAATAGGGCAGAATTGAAAGAATTTACCTTGTGCCCTTAATCCAATTTGGGTGAAATTCTATTAAATAGCTGAAACGAATGAATGAACCTTGGCTGTATGTTTATATATATATGTATGTTAATGTTACAGTGGTTTCAAAAATCTGATGTTTGATTAAGCTAGCAAAAACAACCTATGAATCACAGAGGTTAAATTAAAAATTGCCTATCATTAAACTTAGAAGAAATAGGTAACATGCATCTCCCCAGATGTTGCTGGACTGAAGTTCCCAACATCACTGACCATTCTGGCAGGGCCTGATGGAAGTTGGAGGACCATCCTTGGCCTAGGAAGTTGTGGCTAATTTCCCAAAGCCAGACTATTTGTCTAGTCTGCATATTCTTATTGCATGATGTTTCATTTGAAATATAGTATCTGCCATACTGAAAAGCAGCCAAACATTAGAAGTTAATTGTGTTTTTAACACTACCACAAAATATTATGGGATTTTAGATTTCTTTCAGCATACCTTTCAACAGTTATTGTCATTTTTATTTTGATATTTATAGTAATTTTTTTAAAGAAAGCTTATTATAAGTCTATAAGCAAGTATGATTGCTATGTGCTATTAAGTTTCATTATTTTCTGTGTTTCTGGTTCAAATGAATATATTTTGGTATATATATTTAAAATAAAATGGTAGCAATAATTCTGGGGTGCTATAGAAACGTAGCCATTGACCCTGGACTAGTAGTGTGCGTTACGTACCATCATGATGGGGGTCATAGCCCAATTTATTTCAAAGACACCAGGCTGGAAAAATTGTAAAAGAATTGATATTTGACATAAAGAGACACTTCAATCCTAGAATTCTGTAGAAAATAGAGCTCAGCATAATGAAAAGAACGACTAAAATAGAAAAGAATTGAAAAATTATTAATGCCTAGAAAAACACTGGGACTACTTGTTTTTTGTTTTCTTACTATGGATTTTTCCTCACAGAATAGCAAAACAAGGTTTTACCCAAGCAAGTTCATTTTGGCTTAATCAAAATAAGTATGTTTACTTTGTTGCCTTGAGAAGAGTTTCTCTATTGGATGAAGTGATATATCTTTTATTTAACCAGAGTAGAATTTTGTAAAATTCTATAGTTCTGCATTTCAATTAGTTATTATAAATTTTTAAAGATTTATAAAATAGATAATTTTTCTTTTTTATGTATCCTTGTCTTAATAGCCCATCACCAGTTCTCCACCTAAATGGATGGCTGAATTGGAAAATGATGATATTGACATGTTGAGAGGTGAGTTTCTAGTCAGTGCTTGATAAAAATTCTGTTCATGTGGAATTAGTCAGGCCTGCTTTTTTGTCTTACATATATGATTAATATTAGGTTTTATTGTCATATAAAGTTCTGTTAAGGTTTCTTACCTTTCATGTTGAGTGTATGTTCCACCATGTAATGAAGAAATCAACATAATTTATAGGGCCAGTAATTGTAACACTTTTGTATAAACTTTGGAGGTAAATGGGTTTAATTCAAGATCCATGCATTAAGCAGAACTCTTGAATGAATGATTGATGTTAATGAGAACAGCTTGCATTCTAAACACAAGGCTTCTAGAAAATAGTAGACAAATTACATTAAATTAAATACAGAAATTGAACTTTGAATTGCAGCTTCTTGAAGCTGTTTGGAAAAAAATGATTGACTTTTAGAAACATAGTAGCAGAGGTCTGTCTGCAGAGGTCATTTCTTCTAATTCCACTTTTTAAAAAATGTAATCATGACATCTTTTTCAGCCCAAAGATATAAGTGAGAGCAAATGTACACAATTTGGCAAATGTGTGTGTGCTGTGTTTTTGTAAAGATGGTCATGGATGATATGTTAATTGACTTGATTGACATGGTAGAATTTAGCATCTGTAGCTGTATGACAATTTCTTTTGATAGTCTTTAAAGTAGGTCTGTAAGTTTGCATGAATAGACCTGAGCAATTTTCTGTAAAGCAGAAGTTCTGATTATAGAACATGTTTGAGAAAGAAATACATGTTATGCAACAGTTTCATGTATAATAACAATGGTATTGTAGATTCAGCATGATGTATTAACACACCCTGAGCCTATTATACAGCAAAACTATGAGAAACACTTCAGTGACCAGCTGTTTGGACTTCAGAGGTTAAAAGATTACTCAACTGAAAGTAGGCAAAGTTGTTACATATGATCATATTCCAGCCAAGGTGACTGAGGCAAGTACTGAATAGTGGGTAACAGTTTGAGTTCAGGTGGCCCTTATACCCAGCAATTGGAGATTAGCAGTTGCCATTCCTGTATTTAAAAATGGGAGCAGAAAAGCACCAAAGTTCCCCTAAGTTCCTATATGCTAAGAACTTATGTTGGAAACTTCAGAATTGAATGGGACAAGAAGATACTGTAGCTGAGAAACAAACAGGCTTTTGAGCAGGACAGTCCACCATGGATCAAGAGCTAATATGATGGACAAATTATCCCTCTACATCGCACTATGCAACTTTTTTTGATGTAAATGTGCTTTTAAGGAAACCCTATGAGAAAAGATCAAAGCTACAACTATAGATGCACATATGCTCTTGCTCACATGTTACATGAAAATACAAATCTGTATGTAAGATAATGTTCACAAGGGAAGGTTTCAAACATTTTTTGTACACCAAAAGGAGTTAAGCAGGGCTGTACATTACTCTCCTTTTTAATTTTTATATTAACTCCCTAGTCAAGCCTCTGCTTGATCTAGATCTCCATGTCACCAAGCTAGCTTACAAGCGGAAACTAGTTGGTCTACATGTTGATAATGCTGTGGTTTATACCAGGGTTTCCCAAACTATGAGATGTACATCCCTTGGGGAGGTGCAGACAGACTCCCTGGGAGGGGTGAAGAACCTTTTAGTTATATTTGTTACAATCCACCTTTCCCAAAGTTTCATTGCATTGTTTTAATTGTTCATTTGTGTTCATTTTGGTATTTGGATTTTAGGGGAACTGTGCACATTAAGATTACACTAAAGGGAAGTGTGATGGCAAAAGGTTTAGAAACCCCTGGTTTATACCAATCCCCATTTGGCTAGGACAGCACTGAGTATGATTGCCCAGCATTACTCTAATAACCATCTCATGTAAATAACCAGAAGAAAACTACTGCAGTATTTGCCAAGAGACCTGTAATAAGCAATTGGCGACTTCAGGGTAGTAATATCAAGTAGCTGATGTGTTTAATATCTATGGATTTTTTTAAAAAAAATATTGGACAAGAAGGAAGCTCAAATGCAACATGTGCAAACCGTGCAGAGATGCTCTGCTGCAATCCTGAGGGTTTTTTTGCTTGATAAGGGAAGAATTATTCCTGCTGCCATCAAATTATTTGCTGCTGAGTCTTTGCCACATCTACTCTGTGAAACTTAGGCCATGTTTGAATTATACATATTTGATAGCTATATTCCAAATTCTCAGACGTGCACCAAATGCAGTCCTCCAACTAGATTCTGAGATCTATAGGATGGGGGAACTCAAGTTTGGATGACAATTTATAAATTCTGGCTAAAGCTAAACTCTTGCTCAGTGGATTTGGTCTCCTTAACAGCCCTTGGGAAACATCAGTAACAATGGACAAATTGCTGTCTTTCCGCAGAGCTCTTGTAATCCATGAAATATGCACAGCCTAGAGTGACTCTTAAACAGCAAGTTACAACATAGAACTGCAGAACCATATGAATTTAGTTTCCACTGGTCTTGGAGATTAGTATGAAGTTGGATAATTACCATATGTACTCGCAGATAAGCCAACCCTCAAATTTTTAACCAAAATACCATGAAAAATGTGCACCAGCGGACAAACCAACCCTTGAAATTTTCATATGTTTTAATTTTCACCTGCACCTAGCCACAGGTGGCGCATTTTCTATGGTATTTTGGTAAAAAATTCAAGGGTTGGCTTATCTGTGGATGGGTTTGTAAGTGAGTATATATGGGATACGGGTACTTTAAAAAAAGTATTGCCATGTATACTCACAGATAAGCCCATCCATAGGTAAGCTGAACCCAATTTTTTGGATATATTTTGGCACCTAAAATTCTTGGCTTATCCACAAGTATATGCGGTACTTCACTATCTTGGAATTACCTAATTATTGCAGTTTTCTGTCAGAGCTGTTCTAATGTAGTGCCATCTGGCTTGTTGGAGGGCAGTTTAATAAGATTTCCTATGAGGACTCTTCAAGTCCATTGAGTCAATAATATCAGAAGCGACTGAACAAAGTGAGGAACAAATATGTCCATGAAGGTTAGGTGTAGTCAAAACAGCCAGTCATGTCTTGCTTTATTGTATTATAGCACTATGTGGAAGAAGCTAATTTTACCTGTTTACATTAAATCTTTCAGGTTGTCCAGTTGATAACTGTCTTTTTCTTACTATCAGATAGGTACTCAGGTTTTATACAGAATGTAGCCTCATTCTGTGTGCCAACATGTAAAACCAGATGTGAAATAACAGTGACTTCTCTAAAAAAAAAAAAGGTGAATTTGATCACATGCAGCATTGATATAATCATATCAAATTGTCTTTGCTTTCTGTTTATCTTATGCTTAATGTTGTTGGGTTTTGACCATAATAAAAAAGTGTCATTCATTCATTGTTAATTATTTAATGCAAATATTTGTAAACCACACATTCTTTGTTTTAGAGCTGGGAAGTCTCACCACAGCTAATCTGATGGAGAAGGTTAGAGGTTTACAGAATTTGGCATATCAGTTGGGGCTGGATGAATGTAAGTACTGTATAGATCCTTAAAAAATACAGTAGGGTCATTGCAGGAAGACTTCACATGTTTATGTAAGTTCAGTCTGCTCATACTAGTTAACTGTAGGGATTCGCTATCATAAAAATGATGATAGCAATATGTTCTGTTTTGTACTGTTAGTTTATAGAATCTTTCCTACCCTTTACCTAAAAGTGGGAGTGACCATTCTCTTTCAAGTGATTGTATAACATTTATTGTATAAATAAGTAAGTATCCATCCATGTCCCTGGTGCCCTCCAGCTGATTATGATAGCTTGGAATTCTGGCAACTTGTAATCTATCATAGTTGAAAGGGCACTGAATAAAGAAGGCTGCTATATGCAAATGTGATCTTCATTTTTAGCAATTCAGTACTATATTCATTCCTGAAAACGCTAGAACAAGCACCATATTGCTGTTAGCATAGATGTCATCCCTGGATTACATAATCTTGAAAAGTTTCTTCATAGACCTTTCAGGGTGTGTACCACCGCTATTTTATGAACTGTGCAGCAGCCTTCATAGGTTCCATTCCTAAATGCATTCACGTTAAAGTCAGGATGTTTATTATTATTGAAAAAAATAAAGCAGCAGCTGCAGCATTAGAAGACTATATGTATGCACAGCTCTAAGTGATTAAGGTGTTTTAGTGGAAAACATGTTATGTTTCTGTGCTATGTAATTCACTAATGTAATACAAGTGGAACTGCTCAAAGAAACTGAAATATGGCAGAAGTATAGCTTAGAGCACTTCACAGTGACCCTTATTATTCAAGATTAAATACTGTACTGCCTTCCTGATTGTAAAACAGTGAAATAATTGTTCAAAAGATCCAATGGAGTCATGGAAAGATAGACATTACATAGCCTCTGGGTGGCAGCAGATGGCTGATTGGAATTGTGATATTGGGAAATACATTTGTATCTTTTAAAGATTGGGATGCTCCATTTAACTTCTCTAACAATTTTAAGAGATGATGAATTAGCACAATGTAATAAGTTAAATTGTGTTATATATGTTCCCCACATAAATATTTTTCTATTAATGTTCCTCTGTTCTTAGATGGAACTTTTACTGAGAATTGTCATCCTTTATAGGATGTTGTGCAAATTTAGGGCCATTTTTTGTAATCTGCTAAAATTTAGATTTCAAAGTTAATCCTTTGAAATCTAACTGGTCCTTCAGTTAGTTCCAGCTGTAACTTCGTAATACTTTTTATTAATATTTCCTTTACTATAGTTGTTACTACATTTTCTTTGCTGCTGTGAAATAATTCTGCTCATTGTGTATTGCTGTTGGTAATAATCCATAAGAGAATGGTCTTAACTGTTCCTAAGATCCCCAAGAGACAATCCCAGGGACATCACAATTGGAAACCTTCCTCCATGTCCACAAAGAGGGATATTTAAATAGAGTCCTCTTCAATGTCTGATGTGACTGTGCAAAGCTTTCAAAAGGTGCACTTCACAGAGCATATTGTCACGAGCAACATATTCTTCCTTGAACTGGTAAACTAGTCGTGTCCTCTAAAGGGCTCAGTGCAGCTTTCAAAAGCTATTCCTGGCTATCTGTACATTCAGAAATGAACTCAGAGCCAATGAAGGTAATGAAACAAAGTCACCCTCTGGGGGAGATGGGTGGCATATAAATTTAATAAATAAATAAAACATTAGCACTGTAGTAGTTAATGTTGTAGCAGCCATATTTTGTCACTCGTATAGATAGCATATTGCAGTCATCTAAAATGGTCCCTATTATGTATGGGCCATTGAAACCAAGCAGTCTAAGTTGGACTATAGTTGCCATCCTACCTAAGCTGGTAAAGTATATTCTTTCATAGAGGATTCCTGAAGATCTAATGACAAAAATGAATCTGCAAGCTCCCCAAACTATAAACTTTATGCTTTAAGACACAAGTGCAGGTCTAAGTATAAATCTTTGCCTTAGAAATATTTTCTTGCCTAAGAAAGAGAATGTTATGTATATTTTTGATGTTTCCACAGTATCACAACTGTTAATGATTGATTGATTATGTGCCATCCCTAACTGACTGTCCCTAACCTGGTCTTTCAGGTCTTCCAATGGTGAATGTGTTAATAAAGTAGTTGTAGTCATGTAATAGATGGATGGTGTTTCTCCAAAGTAACAGTTCTATAGATCTGTAATGAACTGTTTCCAGCTACATAGACTATTAACATTTTCCAATATTTCTGATTACATGCATATGTTACAAAACTTTTCAGACTTTCAGTCTGGTGCTTCATCTGCATTATATTTTTCTGGAGGTAGCAGTGACACTTAACCTAACTGTCCAGCTGGATCTTTGAGCAGTCTTGTAATATTTTTATTATTTATCTTCTTCCCCTCTAGCAAAGGGAAATGAACCAAAGGCAGTGAAAGATTTCTGTGAGTGGAATAGGGAGGGTTGTGATTTCAGTTATTTCCCTTGTTCTCCGGCCTATCCACATTTGCTTCAGAGATTTTCACAGTCCTCCAAAGCAGATTTGGGGAGGTCATGGAGAGCTGCAAGGAAAGGGGGGGAATTTCTGAAAATTGTTGTAAACTTCATTTGGCATAAATAATTCAGTAGGATTCTGCATCCATATTAAAACAGTTGTTGCCATGAATAAAATTTATTTAAGTATTCATATTTTATCATTAATTCATCTCACTCTGATTTTGATCACTCTTAGCATCATTTTAATGCTTATGTTGACTGCTTATGTTATGTTGACTGATGCTGTGGAGGGAACTAAATGGTTACCTTTCTTTCTGCTGTTTATTTCACCTATGAAAACTTGAGATTTTCTTTGTAAGGATTTTTGCCTCAAAACTGTTCTATTCAAATGTCAACTAGAAATTAGGGTGTACACAAGACACTTAAATTGGCTAATTTTGGTATATAATGTTCTTAACTACCTCCAGCCTGGGGATCGTGACCTCAGCTTTTTATCATCTGTGTTGGATTGTATGCCACTTTTAGAAGTGAAGGTGGTATGGGAACTTTTAATTGTACCTGTGTGATTTATCTCCAGTCAGCTCTTTAATTTCTTTTGGCTGTCTGAGGTTTCCGACATGCTGTAAATTTCACCAACTTTTTCATTATCTGCAATTTCTTTATGACTTGTGAATCGGAGTGGAGAGAGAGTGTGGATTTACAGCAGAGATAAACATGTCCATAAAGTCTGTATCTGTGTCAGTAATTGTACTGCTGTCAGTGACTGTCCTGTTTTACAGAGCTCTCTTGGGGAAGAACAGTTTGCTACCAGTGGCAGAGTAGTGTTCACACTTTAGTTTATATTAACATATCAGGAGATTACTTTGCAATGATTGGGATGGAAATTGAAGCTAGATATTGGTTACTGTTGTTTTTCCCACCCCACTTCTTACTGTTAACTAATCAATGAATAATTAATTGAATTGTATAGCTTTATTTGAAAAACAAGAGAAACAGGAAGAATGCCATTTCATGTGAAATGTGGTGTGGTTGGTAACAGTACAAAATAATATGTTGTTCATATGTAAAATTACTTGCAAATACTATGGTAAATACTGTAAATACTATAGTAAACAATTGTTGCATTAGAATTTTTAGTAGATAGAATATGGCAAGACTGCATTCTAAACATCATTATTATTATTATTATTATTATTATTATTCGCATAGTCAGCCAGATGTTTAGACTGGATTTGGCATTTTTATCTACCTATTGAGTCCTTCCCAAGGACCTGGGATAGGCAGGTGTTGTTTGATGGTGTTAGAAGTATCATTTAAGCTGTTCCAAGTAAAGCTGCCTTTTGCAATTGACTGATGGTGATTTTGTCGATGCCGATGATCTTCAAGTGGTACTTCGGATGTTTTAGGATTGCACCCAAGGCACCTATTATTATTGGTACTATCTTTGCTTTCTTTTGCCATAGTCATTCTATTTCTATTTGCAGGTCTTTGTATTTTGTGATTTTCTCCAGTTCTTCCTCTTCTATTTTGCTGTCTTCAGCTATTGCAATGTCCACTATCCAGACTTTTTTGTCTTTCTTATCAACAAGTGTTAAATCTGGGGTGTTATGTGGCAGGTGCTTGTCTGTTTGAATTCTAAAGTCCCAGAGCACTTTAGCTTCTTCATTTTCTATTACTTTGTCTGTTTTGTGGTTCTACCAGTTCTTGCTTGCAGGCAAATGGTATGCACCATTGTTGCTGCTTTGTCATGCCATTTTTTTTTGTCTTTCTTATCAACAAGTGTTAAATCTGGGGTGTTATGTGGCAGGGGCTTGTCTGTTTGAATTCTAAAGTCCCAGAGCACTTTAGCTTCTTCATTTTCTATTACTTTGTCTGTTTTGTGGTTCTACCAGTTCTTGCTTGCAGGCAAATGGTATGCACCATTGTTGCTGCTTTGTCATGCCATTGTTTGTAGTCAGTCTGTGTGATCTTCAGACATTTGCTGTCTGTTGCTGTCTTCTCAGTTCTGGCTTTGTATGTATTTGTTCTTAAGGCTTGATCTTGATCACTTTCCTGCTCTTAGCCATTGCCAGGTCTTGTTGTTACCTGCTTTGCCTGCTAGTTTTTTTGTGT